CAGCCACTTGTTATTTTCAGCAGCTGCTGACTAGGGGACACCTGGGGCAGAGCAGCTGGGGTGCTGCTGGGTTGGTCCAGTGGCACCCAGAGCGGTGCTACGGGACCAACCGGCAGCGCCCCAGCTGCTGTACCACAGGCGGCCGGAGCAAAGCCGCGGAGCACGGGGGCAGCGGGACAGCCCAGACGCGTCTGGGCTGTCAGCTGGCCGCGCGTTCCGCCGCCGCTTTGCTTCCTCTCCCTGGTCTGCTTGAGACCAGGGAGAGGAAGTGCCCCGTTCGTAACTGCGGATCCGACGTAAGTCGGATCCGCGTAACTCGGGGACTGCCTGTAATGTATTTCTTCATAGCCTCATATTTACTGTAAATTAGCTTACCTATAAGCTTCAACCATATTAGAATCCTTTTATGTTTAGTAATGTTTTTGAAAGATGCATATTAAAAGAAAATAGATCAGCAAAACTTGTAACACAGCGAGCACCAATATCCACCTCCTCCTTTCCTAAACAGTTAACATATATCCAAAGTCAGCTTGCATACTAGGTTATAGATAAGCCACATTAAACATACATTCAAACTAGGTTTCTGTTATTTGATATGTTCATGTATGAGACAAAATGCAAGTTTAGCTGAAACTATTCTAGATCAGGAGTTAACAACACTTCTTTACCTCACTGTCCACAAGGTATGCCTTTTCCACTAGGGTTCCACTGTAACTCTTTCAGAATTAAATCCATGGAATGGCAGTTAGCTTTATTTAACTTTTATTTAATAAAATAAAACCAACAATGACATATTAGGGAAACCTATATTCTAGTATTTAAGATACAATAGACATAAATCATGAACAACTTAGATTCAAGCATCTACACACAAACCCACAATAACACAAGACTTTCAAAGGTCACCTGAATAAACAGCATGGGGATAAAAAATACGATTGGGATTTTAAGGGAAAACCTTTACATTGGTTTGAAATAATGATTATTTAATGAAACATTTCTGTATTTTCATGCTTTAGAATGGGCAAATTCATGTCCTACAGAAACTCTACCTTCCTCACCAAGCTTTCTGTTCCCTTCCATTTTCCATCTCTCCTTCAGTCTACACTATAAAGTTTTGTCAACAAAACTATAAGTTACCAAAACAAAAATTGCCGGAGGATCATGTCCACACTGGAGGCACCATCACTGACAGTGTGAGAAAAGCACTGGGGGTATGTATCCCACAGTGCAGCACTGCGGGAAAGCAGAGCTGATCACTGCACATCTTGAGATGCCCACTAAGTGCTCCCGCAGCCTCCTCAGCTGCCAGGAGCGGCATCATGAGTAGCTCTGTGAGTTCTCTGTGATGAGAAAAGTCAAAAACAGCCCGGCAGCCTGTCTCCTACCCCCTGCAGCAGCAGCTCACCTGCTACTATATTCCTAGTGAAGCAAAGAATGATTTAGTTTTTGTTCCCTAAATGGAAAGGCACAATCAGCTGTTAGATACTTCCTGGAGCTTTGAAAGGAGAGGGGGATATGCCTGCAGGATAGCCAAGATCAAAAAACTAAGCAAAGTCATCAGGGCAGACATTGTGAGATACTGGCAGAAGCCATTTCTGTCAACAAAATAAACAGTTTACACTGGCTCTTTGTTGACAATAAAGGGGGAGGGGAGTTGCTGGTGGAGATGGAAGTGTGTCTCACCAAAACAGGATGTGTTTTCCAACAAAAGTCGCATTGCAGTGTGTGTGCTCTCATTGTTTTGTTGCCATAAGGCAGTTTGTTATGATAAAACTTGGTAGTGTAGACAAGACCTTACATTTTCCAGTTTTCTAATCACTTTCACAAGGAGTTACAAAATGTTAACACCCTCCAGGAGCAAATTTACAAGGGAAGAAACACTAACCCAACTAAAATGATTGTACGTACTTCGGGTTATTTTTATAAAAGGAACTCAAAAGCAAACAACTTTTCTTTAACAACATGCTAAGTCACATTTAGGCCCTGAAAGAATAGCAGTGACTAAATAGGAAATCAAAAAAGAACAATGAGATTCAAAGCCAGTAGCAGTCCTGTGCAGCCACACTGGTGCAAAGCTCTATGCCCAGACATTTTTGGATTGATAAAAACACTGAGAGAATCAAAATGCAAAACCTTTTTGTGCAAAAAAGAGACTTTTACATCATCTAATTTATCATTTCTATGAAGCAGTCTCAAAAAATGATTTCCCTGAGCTTATATAAAATTTTACATTGTACGTAGTGCCTTTAAAAATGTAATCTCTAGCTCACCCTTGCCCCAGCACACCTGGCCTCTCACTTCCCTTTGGTATTCACTAATGATGAAGTAGTGAAATACTAAACTATAACAATGTTTAAAAGAGATACTATTCCAACCTTTTAAAATACCATTGGCTTGGTTTTCTAGTTTTACATAAGTGAATTACATAGCTTGCAACTATTTCCAAAGAAACAAATGCTTAGGGACATGCCGTTTACAAAAATAGAGCATAACTGCACTGTGGCCACATCATTTGTAAGTTGTGAAGTGCTGTAGATTCCAGAAAATAATATAAAACTCCCTCCTTTATAGGTGGGTTTTAAATAGAATTAAATCATGAAAGACAAGCCGTAGCTTTGTGACTGCTCAAAGAGGAGAGATAAAGGCTATAGACTGACTGCCCCAGTCGTCTTCTCTTCCTGACTCTTTAGTTGATTTCAAATAGTCAGCATCTTAACTTTAAGCATAACTCTTTTTGACTGTTTTTGACTACGGAATGTGGAACTATAGCTGTAGTTAATGTGGTGGTTATGCAGTACAATATACTGTGGTTAGCAGGCTAATAAACACATTTAATTTGACGTTATGTCCTGGCTTTGTATTAGTACGTCACCACTACTTAGCGGCGAGGAGTCCTGTGGCATCTTATAGATTAACCGAAGTGTTGGACCATAAGCTTTTGTGGGCAAAGACCCACTTCGTCAGATGCATGTATACACCAATACTTAGGTATATCTTCTATATAAATGTAGCAGGGTAGTTAATGTGTTAAATCTTCATGGACTTTCTTTCAGATATCCATCATGCCACGCTACAAGCTCGTGTATTTCGATGTGAGAGGAAGAGCAGAAATCAGTCGCTACCTGTTTGCCTATTCAGGCATAAAGTACGAGGATCACAGGATAAAACTAGAGGATTGGGCCAAGATCAAACCAAGTGAGTAGAATATATTCTTGCATACAAACTTTCCCTATAAATCTAGTCAGAACACAAAACCACATAGGATACTGTCTATTTGCTGATTTGAGATAAAAGGACCAATGAATGCTAAAAGACTCAGGTGAAATTTTGGCTTCATTGACGTCAATGGGAATTTTACAACTAACTTCTGTGAGGCCAGGATTTCACCCCTTGTCTCTCCGCCAGGAAATATTAATCCAAGGACAGATTCTCAGTTAGTATAAATTGACACAGTTCGATACCTTCATTGCATTTACTGACATCAGCTGGGAATCATGCCCCAAGTTTTCAAATACTGTCAGCTAGAAACTGATGGAAACACAGTAAATATTAACACATTAAGACTCTTAAAAAATTGGCCCCAAAAGGCTATACTAAAGCACTGAAACCAATTTCAGAAGCCAAATGAAAATCAAAGAAGCAAAGAGGGAAGCCCCTTGTGACCTGACAAGTTCTCCAAGTGCAGAAGCAACAAGAGCAGCTGAAAAGGGAAAATGGTGGAATATAGCCTACCTCTGAAAAAAATATACAGTCTATTCAGAGACTAGCAGTACACAGAAAGCTACAAGACTCCTTTAATGTTTACAGATAAATTAACCTGAGATTGACATAAGTGAGACTAAAATGTCAAAAGGTCAAAGCAAATGTCACGTGTGTGCCAAACCCTTTATTTACGATGCACAAACCGTTCAATATTTTAATTCACCAGTAAGTTTTACTCCGGATAAGACTAATCCTAGGCTGGTAGTTTGGAGGTAAGCAATCATAGGACTTGCCAATTTCCTCCATGTCCTCACTTGAGGAAACTGCCCTCTATTCTATTTTCCAGAATAGATTGTTGTAGTACTTCCTTCAGGGAGCTGCTCTTTAAGATTAGAGAAAAACTTCAGCTGGTGAAAAAAGTTGCTCTCCATTTGTGACGTGATGCTGTTTGGAAGGAAGGCATTTTACACGATCAGCACAGTCTTCCAAATTCTTTCTTGGTGCAATCAAAGGTTCTTTTATCCCATATATCCTCAAATGGTTTGAATCCTGATTGTTTTAGACATCATTTTCTCCTTAGTGACATTGAGACACTTGCTGAGGTGCTCAAACCAAGACACCATGGTGTCAGCCGACGGTCAAGGCAGTGTGTGTGTGTATGTTTCCGAGAAAAGGTTTAACGTCCGTGCCTTTACTGCTAGGACCGGGGTCCCATCGCAGAGGGTGGCCAGCAGACCAACAGACGCCCCGTTATATAGGAAGAGCTTATTACATCTTAGATTTCAGCTGCTAGAATTCATAATTCCTTCGCAGCGGGCAGCCTTGGGGAAAGACTGAAAGATGCCCCAGTGGATCCTGTCACCTGGGAGTGACACAGATCCAAACGCCCAAGCTCTTCCTATAACTGTCCCTTTAGACCGGCTGAAGTTCTTTTAAATTGTGCTTGGTTCTGTTACAGCAACTGAAGGAGTCAGGTTAAAGCTTAAACAGTTACAGGTTTATTGAGGAAGCTTATAAATCATATGGTTGCAATGGCTATTGTTCTATTTCTTAACTATTAGCAAAATATAGGTCTTAAAAATGGTTACAAAGAAGATAAAGATAGAAAAATAGAAATAATGGTACCAAGTAACAGCTTACTCTTTCTATGTGTACACTTAAGACAGAGGACCACATCCAGGTACCATTTTTACCCCCTTCTGTGCCTCTCGACTCCAGCATGTCAGGCCAGGGCCGGTCCCTCAATTCCTAGGAAAGACGAAAATACGAGGTGGGCGTCCCCATAGAACCTCGGGAGGTCAAACACCTAACCCGACCAGCAGGTAGAGGGTAGAATGACACTCAAAGTGAGTGTGTGCTGGGCCCATCTTTTATAATCATGAGGTCACGTATTTCTCTTTCTTATCTGTCATGCCAAATGGGGCTGGTCTGTCTTTTGTGAGACCAGTTCTTACAAGGGAGTTGTGAACTTAATTTACACTTGTAAGAGAGAATTGAGATGATTAAATTGGAAGTACTGGGCATTCTTTTCTCAGTGGGGGATTCCTCTCCCAGGGACTGTGTGTTCGTATCAACATACTGTAATGCCAATTGATGCTGGTCTGTCTGCTGTGAGACCAGTTCTTACAAGGGAGTTGTGAACTTAATTTACACTTGTAAGAGAGATTTCAGATGATTAAATTGGAAGTACAGGACATTGTTTTCTCAGTGGGAAATTCCCCTTCCAGGGACTGTGTGTGTTCGAATCAACATAGGTGCCAGCCGCAGCCTCGAGGCCAGCTTATTGACTTAGCTGCTTTCTATCCACATATCTGTTTTTTTTTCAGCTTCTCAGGATCAGATGAGCCAGCATAGACTATGCTGATATTATTGCTCCTTCTCTGCCCTGTGCTTCAGAGAGGCAAATAAGATGGTTGATATGGGGTTAGTCTGTCTGGCCACACATGGGCTAAAAGAAGACGGGACTCCAACGGAGACAGGGGAGAAATAGAGACAGGCTCTTTTCAGTAAGGAGTCTTGCATTTTGCAAACTGTTTCTCCACCAGAGTCTGATTCTGTTGACTATCACGTTATGCAGTATAACTTTGGTATCCCTAAAGCATTTTCACAGAAGGAGAGGAAAGAGGTGGATGGAAGTGGGGAGGGAGGGACGCGGGGGGGCAGAGAATTGGTTTTGAAGAGATTTAGGGATTTGTGCTCTAGTTTTGAATTTTTATATTCGCACAAATAAAATTTATAGTGTCTACATTCTCCATACATACCTAGAATTTTGAATAGATTATTTTAAAATAAAACAAACACTACGAAGACTTAAACATTACAAATCCATTTACATCTTAAAATATATGAAAATCAGGCTTACTTGCCAAATGTTCCAAGTTCAAGATGCTGGATTTCCCATGTAACAGTTGTAGACATCATACACACTCAAACCAGTGAGGCAGTCGGGCAAGAAAATACTTTCCAAAACATTTTTAATGTTCATGATACAAAGCCATCAATGATGACTCCTGTACATTAGCCAATGTCTGTTAGCCAATATGCCTGACTGCAGCCCATCTGCACTATTAGCATTGTGATTGAATATTAGAGATGTAGGACGTGTTAAAGAAACTGGGAACCAAGATATTAGAGCTCTGTTCTTGGATATTCCACTTAGTCTAATGCCTTGTGCAGATCATTTAACTTTTTGTTCCTTAATTTGTTAGGTGAACTGACCCTCCCTCCCCCAGGTTATTATATGGTTTAATTAAAGGTGTAACATACTTTGGGAACATATGTGAAGAAAAATGTGACATATACATTATGGCTACGTCTAGACTGGCATGATTTTCCGCAAATGCTTTTAACGGAAAACTTTTCCGTTAAAAGCATTTGCGGAAAAGAGCGTCTAGATCGGCACGGATGCTTTTCTGCAAAAGCACTTTTTGCGGAAAAGCGTCCGTGCCAATCTAAACGTGCTTTTCAGCAAAAAAGCCCTGATCGCCATTTTCGCGATCAGGGCTTTTTTGCGCAATACAAATCTGAGCTGTTTACACTGGCCCTTTTGCACAAAAGCTTTGCGCAAAAGGACTTTTGTCCGAATGGGAGCAGCATAGTATTTCCGCAAGAAGCACTGATTTCCGACAGTAGGAAGTCAGTGTTCTTTCAGAAATTCAACGGACAGTGTAGACAGCTGGCAAGCTTTTGCTTTTGCGGAAAAACTTGCCAGTCTAGACACAGCCTAAGGGTATGTGTACACAGCAGGGCAAAAGTCAAATTAAGTCAAATCATGTGTAGCTGAAGTTAAAATAGCTTAATTCAGCTTTTGGCGTGGTCTATGCAGCAGGAAATTGAAAGAACAACACTGTAAAATGAGGGTTACAGGAGTCAGAGTAAGAAGTCCTCCATCTCGACATTATGTCAAAATAATGGCTTGCTGTGTAGATGCACATTTTGTTATTTTGAAATAATGTCAGTTATTCCGAAATAATACTGATGTGTAGACGTGTCCTAACATATTACCATATTACTATGACTCTTATATTGGATTTCAGATTACATAAGACATTGGGTAAAGTACAGGAAAGTTTTACAGACGTCCCATTTGGGGCTAGATCCTGCAAACCCTCTGCATGGAACTCCCATTGAGTCAGTGAAAGATCTGTGAACACAGAAGCAGACACTGGGAATGCTTCCTAATGGTCATGAATTGTTTTAGCAATAGAAGTAAAAGTAAAGAGAGAGAAAGGGGAGATTGGACATATAGTGGTGACTGTCACTAGAAAATCTAAGCCTAGAAAAGCAGTTGGGTCGAAACCTGAAAATGCCACTTTGGCCAAGAGTTGGATCCTGAGTCCCTGCCTACGGATGACTCAAGGCTTTCATTAAGGACACTTAGTGAAGGAGATAACTACATCATTCCACCTGCACTATGTACAAAAACAGTTGCATAATTTTCACATGTACAACTAATTAATTTAACACTACTAAAAGATATTGATTTTGTCATGAGATCAACCAGCTACAGAATATTTGATGACTATGGGGAAATTTACTCCACAGGAAATAATTAATATTCATTCTCAAAATGTTTCTAGGCACAGAACTGTGAAATATGTCATGTTGTATCACAAACCTAAGTAAGTATGAAGTTTAATGAATAATTTTGGTGTACAGGCCACACAGTCCCTCTTCCACAGTAATGCAAGTGTGTGTGTCAGATTCAAAGTTCATATGTGAGGAGTGTGTTTCTCCGTGCTTCTCTGATGTTGCTGCCTCATTTTGATCTCCTGTGGTTTGGCAAATTCTCTGGTTTGGCATCAGTCAGGTCTCGAGGGTTCCAGACTAGTGAGATTCAACCTGTAATATAAATAAAACAAGGCAGTCAGAACAATACCACCTTGGCATGAAACAAGATCAAAATTAAATACACCAACTTGTTTTTCAATCATTTCAAAACTTTTCAGCTGAAGACATAAAAAATCATAATACAAAACATTTTGATACAGATG